CAGCCAGTGGATAGAGAGACCCTCTGAATTACAGATCAGAGCACGATCTGATTTTGGAGCGTGTTGGGATGTTCAGGGGAGTCCATGACCAAAATAGAATTATATATACCGGAGGATTCCTAATCCAGCAGATTCATCATAGGAACTGTCAGTTTGTCTGGATATTGACCTTGATTGTTGGAAACTGTGAGTAAAATTGATGTTGTGAATAAAGTTTCATTTATCAGGAAGAGCCAGGTCACCTGTCTTGCAAAGGAGGACATACCTCGGGGCAAGAACAAGAACACTAACCACTATGCCACACTGGCTCTCCTGGCTGTATTGTGGCTAGCTTTATTTTCTAATGAGTTATGCCTGCCCTAGTAATCTATAGTTTACCATGTAGAAAGCGAGGAGTGGAAGCTCTGGAAGTTTCATGGGCTGGGATGTTTTGCAATTCCCTCCATCTTTGGCACTGGAACTCCTATTATGGAGCTGGTGGCAAACTGTGAGACTCCTTGCTTTATTTTCAGTTTAATGACTCCCACAGTCAACCTTTGCTTCCATTGCAAATCACAATGGGAGGTGGGGACTCCTGCAGAGGACCTAGGCCCCTTCAGTTTTGGCACTGCAACACCCACAGTCGCCCTGAAGCTGGTATCCACGTCTGAGACTCTTCATGTTTTGGACACACTTTCCAGAGGTGGTCCCATCATGAAGCAACAGGAAACAGGCTGGATCAGCTAGCAGACGGTGGGGAACTGGTAGATTCAGATTTGAAAGGTGGCTTGAGCGGGGAATGGAACTCCCAATGCATAACCTGTCGCTACAGGTGCTTGTTTCATTTTCATCTAGTTTTTTTCCCCAATAAGCACATTCAAGATAAGTATAATTGATAAAATAAAGTTGCGCTCTTGCCAGGCCGTGGTCCACCTCAATGCTCCCTCTAAGCTGTGGAGTCTCGTGAGCAAAAAATCTCCTTTGTGAGCTACTGGCGAGACAAAAATGTGTGAGCCGGGGGCTAAAAAACTGAGCTAGCTCACACTCACTCAGCTTAGAGGAAACACTGATCCACCTTACTTCCTTTGTTCCACCTTCTGGTCCTACAAATGCTGTAGAAGTTCCATGGGAAGTGTAGTTTCCTAACCTGTGGGTGACCTACTCATGCCAAAGTTTTCTAAACGTTTGCAGGGAAATTCTTGTTTGAATTATAATTCAGAATTACAAAAACTGGAGACCTGATGCTGAGTCATATATTTGGCAAGAAGTCTGGGAGAATGAAAATATTTGAATCAGAAGTTCCAGGGTGCCACAGGGTGCTTAACGTCCACATTGTGTTAATGGTCAGTGAGTTCCCACCTCATACAAGCAATAGGAAGCATCTTCTTCTAGCCTGGTGTGGCTTAATTGCTTTTGTCCTGTTGACACACTTGCACTCCCCGATTTCTCCCCCAAACGCTTCCTCGAAAGCTGATGGTGCCATGTGGCATGGTGGTTAAGCGTGTCGGACTGGTATCTGGGGGGGCCGGGCTCGAATTCCCACTGGTGCCATGGACGTTTGCTAGGCAGCCTTGGTCAGTGGCACTCTCTCAGCATAACCTACCTTACAGGGTTGTTGTGAGGATAAAGTGGAGAAGAGAACAATGTAAGCTGCTTCGGGTACCCAGCGGGAAGAAAGGTGAGGTACAAAGGAATTAAATAAATTTCAGGCCTTGCTGCTGCAAGATCCATTCTGAGACACAAAACCTAAATTTAATAATAACAACATGACCTGGCCTGGTCTGGGACTTGCTCATAGTGTTACATGTGCAGTGCACCCATTCAGACACGGGGAGAGAGAGATGCAGGTGAAAGGGGTGAGGGGGAACTAGAAACACACACACATCCCTGTGTGGTGCCTGAATGTCCTCCTTGAGGAGAAAACAGCAGTTTTTCAGGAGGGGTGACCTGCAGTGCTATCCCGAGCAGATTTACAGCCTTTAAAGTCCATTGAAGTCGATAGATTTAGAAGTGTGTAACTGGACTTAGGAGTTCTCTGTTAACAGCACAGAAATTATATGGAAGGGAAAGGTTAAACTCCCCTTCCAACAGCACTGCAGGCTCAGGGCGGCTTGCATTATTTCATAAAACAATACATAAATTCAAACGATAATCCATCAAAACATCAGTATGAAGTCAAATTCAAACATGGTTAAACTTTAAAATAACCAATCTGAGTGCCTAAAAGCAGCAGCGAGTGATTTAAATCCAACACACAGCAAACTCATGCCAGGGAAGAGGCAGCAAACCAGTCAGATGGAAACTGGCGCCGCTCCCGGTGCCCAGGAATTATGTCTCATTCCCTAGATGTGGGCTGTTAATTCTATAGATTAAGGCCATGTGCAGACAAGGCAGATCTTTCTGCAGATCCATGGGTTCGCAGAAAAATCCAAAAACTCTTTGGAGAGGCGAGGGAGATTTAAAATCCGTTTTTTTAAAAAGGTGAGATCTCATGATGGAATCTCATCTCCCATCTTTGCTAGGCAGCTCCCAAGATGCATTAGAAGCTGGAAGGGAAAGGCGGCAGCTGTAAGGGGAAGCCGGTGATGAGCACTGGCTAGTGTTTGGGATGGGAGGAAGCCGGAGTAGCCACACATTCCCTCACAGCCCCAGTCCTGCCAGTGCCCAGCAGCCTCCAAGATCAATGACTGGGGGGGGGAGGGGGGAGACTTCCAGCAGGAGGCCGCAAGCAGTGCTGGCCAGGAAGAGGTGGAGCCACTGCGGCTGGTGCTGCTGCTTCTGTTCTTTCCCACCCTAACCCCAGGGTAGAAGAGCAAAGGTGGCCCCTCCTTTCTCCGTCCTTCCTTGCCTATCTGCTGCCCCAACCCACAGCACACCAAAAAAGTTGGGCAAGTAGGGGCAACTGAGGGGAGGGCAGTGATGGCAGCTTCCCTCCCCCCCTTACAAGTTGCTGACAGGTCTCTGCTTGTATTATATATATTGGAGATCTGATCCTGAGCGCCTTGTGTACTTTGTCCCTGAAGTAACACAGAATGAGCACCCCCGGGTCTGTCGAGGGGTCTGAGGAGAACCTGGAAAGGACTGAGGGGAGGGGGAAAGCCTGGATCCCCAATGACCCACATTCCCACTTTATCTCTGAACAGCATACTGTCAGGAACCCAGTAGGCTGTTTCTGACATTTAATGTACAACTGTCCCTTTAAGAGATAATAAGGCAACAAAAAAAGGGTGCTCAGGGGGGAAAATGAGGGAAAACAGACACCACTGGAGTAACTTTTGGGTGGATGGCAGCCTCTAGAAGCTTTTTGCAGAGCCAGAAGAGGGGCTCTCGGGCAAGAAAAGGTTTAAATTAGTCGTCCTGAGCAACAGCAACAGAGCCCACGAGGGAGATCTGGCGGCCTTAAGGACAGAGTCTGAGGCAGCCTTTACCATACACAGCAAAGAAGGGACTGAGGGTCTCTCCAGAGAAGGAGGCTCCCGAGAACCTGTAGAGAAGGAGTGCTCTGTCAGCGTCAAAAAAGGCCACCTGCCCTCCCTCGTAGTTGAGAGAGACTCGGATCCTCTTCAGCTCCCCACTCAGCATGGAATGGTTAATGTCCTTTATGAAAGCCTTATACCGGCCCTGACTCCTCCCCACAACCCAGACCCCTTCCTCAGGAGTAAAGGTGAATGTATCCTTCACAGGCTTTCTGGCCACCCCCACCGCCCAGCCATCCTCACTTCCCACAAGGACTTCCCAGAAATGGCAGCCGGCTGTGAAGCCCTCACGGCCATATATAATGGAAAAAACATAAATGTTCTCTGGATCTTCAGGCCGGTCTTGAGCTTGACTGTGGCATTTAATGCTTCTCCGATCCTCAGACAGGATGAGTTTGGAATCAGCAGGGGTTGGGTCCAGAGTCACTTTTGCTATTGGGGGGAAGAGAAGGAGACAGAAGGGGAAGGAAAATCCGCCAGGAGGTTAATTTACTTTCAGAAGCTCCGCTAAAGACATTGACATATGAGCACCAACTGTCCTGAGAAAAACACCCCCTTGTGGCCCTGTTTTTAAAGCAACAGCTTGGCTTATTTTATCTTGTTACCCCCTTGTGGCCCTGTTTTTAAAGCAACGGCTTATTTTATCTTGTGCCTCTCTTTATTTTTGTTTTATACGTGAATATGATTTTAAAAAACACAAAAAACAAACTCAAGCCCAGAGGAGGAACTTCCCCCCACACACTGTATATAAACCTCTGTACTTTGGATGCCACAGGAGAAAGGGAGGCAGCAGTGGTGAGAGAAAGGCACTCTGTGCATTCTCAGGGGTACATCTCTTCCCATATTCAAGAAGTAATAGGGATGGGAAGCTAAGCTCAGTGGAGGTCTTGCTATAATTTTCTTTTCCAGGGTTTTTAGAAGAAGAGAACAGAGTTTGTCTATAAAAATACCTTTTGGGTTATGCTAGAAAAGCAAAAAAGTAGGCAATGCCACATGGGAATGGAAGGTATCAAGAGCTGCAAGGGAGGTCAGTGCTCAGTTTTTGAAGAGGAGTCTGTGCTGTCATTCATTAACGTGGAGTGGAAGTCCCTGTTTTCCTCTGAAACCCCAAAGCCCATATTTCATTGCAACAGAAGAACTGGTAGACAGCAATTCCACTGGCGGCTTCCCATTCTTTTGCCAGGAATGCTTCATCCTAATCTCTAATATCCAGCCAAAATGGCAGATGAAAAGTCCTGGTGGTGGACAGTTGACTGGGGGGGGGGGACCTTTATTATTTATTATATTTGATTTGTTGGTTGCCCTTCCCTGCGAGCAGGGCTCAGGGCAGCTTACTTCAGAAATAAATACAATACAATTGAGTTGAAACCGCATTAAAATACTTTAAAGCAGTCAGAAAAAGAACACTTAACTCCAAGATGACGGCAGGATGGGGCAGGCAAGCCGGAGCCTGAGGCAGGATGGGAAAGCCAGACACAGCAGAAGTGAACTGCTGGAAGTGGGATTCCCCCCTCCCCACAAGTCCCCCCACAGGTCCCTTCTTTGGAGAACTTTAATAACCAGCTTGAACCTGGAAGGCAAATACGGAAGTGGAATCTGGGGAAAGGAGATGCAGCTGGAAGAGTCACCACACCCTCCCTGAGCACCTGGTCCATGCCTCGCATCAGCTGGGTTCTCATGTTTCTTTTCCTCAAGAAACCGCTGGTTGAAAAAGCTCTCGGTACTGATTGCCCAGAGTCTGTTTCACAGTCATTTAAAAGTAATTATGAAGACAACAGGGCATCTCCTCAGAACTCAACTTCACTGTTATATCTCCCTCTTCCTCCAAGGAGTCTCCCCTCCCTCAGAACCAGTGTGGTTTAGTGGTTAGGAGCACGGACTCCGATCTGGGAGAACCGGGTTTGATTCCACACTCCTCCACATGCAGCTGCTGGTGTGACCTTGGGTCAGTCACAAGTTCTTTCAGAGCTGTCATCTCAAGGGTAGTTCTCGAGAGAGCTCTCTCAGTCCCACCTACCTCACAGGGTGCCTGCTGTGGGGAGGGGAAGGAGATTATAAACTGCTTTGAGACTCTTTCGGGTAGTGAAGGGCAGGGTATAAATCTAATCTCTTCTTCTTAAGAGCATAAGAATATAAGAGAAGCCAATGTTGGATAAGGCCAATGGCCCATCCAGTCCAACACTATGCATATTCTGCAGTTACTCCATTGCTTACCGATTAGTTCAGCAGAACACTGAACTCGTTCAGGAGGGTGTTTTTGCAAAGATAATAGGAATGTGGCAAAACGGAACTGCTATTAGTCGCAATAGCTAATGGAACCTCCCTTCTCAGAGGCAGTATACCTCTGAACAGCATTACAAGCCAATCAAGCCACAAAGCCGACTACCCTGTGAACTTATTTCACTCGCCAACATGACCTTGACTCCCCTAAATTTCCTTTTAGTCAAAGGAAAGAGGAAGCATGTACAATACTTCTCCATATTGTCATCTGTGGGAGTGAACAAATCCTGCGAGGCAAGCCCGGGAGGAGTTCAAGTTCTCACCGGGAGATTGGCAAATGCACAAGGTCTTCTGAGTCTGCTGAATTACTGAGAGCATAAACTTTGCGACATTCGGGCAAGATAATATGAGCTGTGAGTAAAGAACATTATGTGAAGAACACACTGTGACTCTAGCTTCGAGTCTTCCACTTGTAGCTTTTTCACTGTACAAGGCAGGGGGGAGAAATGTGTGAGCTTGCTCTTTTCTCTGAATAAAGCGCTGCTGAGAGGCAGTCAGAAAAAACAGTTTGGTACAGAGAGAGAACTGACAGAGATCCTGGTCAGTGAGCTCCAACAGATCTGTGTGCAGTGTCATTTATTTTGAACCCTCAAGTCTACAGTCATCTGGAAGTGATTCTTGCCTGTCTGAGGTCTGACTCTGAGCACCAGGTGCTGGGGTCAAAAAAGCAGGAGGCGGCTGTTGCTCTCATGCCCACTGTGTGGGCTTCCCACAAGCACCTGGGTGTCCACTAATGGGAACAGGATTCTGGACCAGAGAGACCTTGGATGGATCCAGCACGGCTCATGTTCTCAGGTTAAAAGACTTACATTTAGTATCAGTTACTGCTCCCATCTTTCCTCTTTCCCACTAGTCAGAACCAACCCATTCATGATTCTCATGCTCAGAGGATGGAATTCTCAAACGCCAATGAAACATAAACATAAAATATATTGTCGAAGGCTTTCAGGGCTGGAGTTCATTAGCTGTTGTAGATTTTCCGGGCTGTGTGGCTGTGGTCTTGGCATCGTAGGACCTGACATTTCACCAGTAGCTGTGACTGGCATCCTCAGAGGTATAACACAGAAAGATGGAGACAGAGAGAGTGTGATGCCAGTCACAGCTACTGGCGAAACGTCAGGTCCTACAATGCCAAGACCACGGCCACACAGCCCGGAAAATCTACAACTAATAAACAGAAAACTTCTTGACAAGTCCACCCCACTTTCATATGTATTTTGTCCTCCGTCTTCAAAATTTACCTTTTTGCATCTGAAGATCAGAAGCCACAGCATCTGGGGAAGCAGAAGGAACGGAGATTAAACATCAGACCGTTGTATTTATAGGAAATCTTTAGCAATTCACAAACATATAGGTGTTGAAATAAATCCAGGGAGAGCGGGAATCCTCCTCCCAAAGCTGCTTGCAAATATCTCCATTCCTGTTATTCCAGCGGTTGAATCCAGATTAAATTTTCCGCCAGCAGCAGAAGAGAACTTTCCAGCCTCGCCCCATCCCACTGCAGCCCATTGGCCTCCCCAAAAGGGTGCTTATGGAGAACAAGTTTCCCAACCCCAGCATCTGCCAGGTCATTGTCACTTCTGACTTCTGGAACCAGCTCATGAAGAGGTGAGATCCAGCCCTATGCAGAAGACAGGGGGAAAACCCATCTTTCCAGTGGGGATCCCTCTCTACTCCCCAACTCTCCCTCAAGAGCCTGTGCGATGGACTTTCCCCCTCTTGCTGCCATCACCTCCTAGTTTTTACACCCCCCCTTCCCAGTTTGATGGCAGGAGGAGGATTAAATATGGCTGCTGAGTAGCATCGACACCTGGCCAAGTCTCATCAGTAGACATCAGGGTAGTCATAGAATCACAGAGTTGGAAGGGGCCGTACAGGCCATCTAGTCCACCCCCCTGTTCAACGCAGGATCAGCCTACGGCATCCCTGACAAGGGTTTGTCCAGATGCTGCTTAAAGACTGCCAGTGAGTCCCTTTATCTCTTTTGTTGTTGTTCAGTCGCACAGTCGAGTCCGACTCTTCGCGACCCCATGGACCAGATCCCGCCAGGCCTTTGTTTATCTCTTAAACAAGTACAATTTTTATTCTACTAGGAGATGGCCAACATAGGGATTTAAATGAAAGGGAGGAAACAACAGAGGCCCACCTGGGAGAGCCGTGTCTAATGGAGCCAAAGTGCGGGGCTTCAGGTGTCTACGTACCAGTGCCCAAAGCTTGGGCAATAAGAAGGAAGAGCTTGAGCTTCTAATGCAGATGGAGGGATATGATTTAGTAGGCCTTACAGAGACTTGGTGGGATGATGCCTATGACTGGAATGTAGTAGTGGATGGATAGGAGTTGTTCAAGAAGAACCGAAAAGGTCGAAGAGGAGGTGGAGTGGCACTATGCGAGGAGAGGGTTTATTTGTCAGGAAATACTGGAGGAGGAGGGTGACAGCTCAGTAAAAGTATCTGGGTGAGGATAAAGGAAGGAAGGACAAACAGTATTGTGGCTGGAGTCTGCTACAGACCTCCTGACCAGGACTAGGAGGTGGAGTGGCACTATGCGAGGAGAGGGTTTATTTGTCAGGAAATACTGGAGGAGGAGGGTGACAGCTCAGTAAAAGTATCTGGGTGAGGATAAAGGAAGGAAGGACAAACAGTATTGTGGCTGGAGTCTGCTACAGACCTCCTGACCAGGACAAGGAGGTGGATGCTGCCCTCCTTGAACAGCTTGACAGGGTATCCAAACACCATAACCTGGTAGTTATGGGTGACTTCAACCTCCCTGATGTGTGCT